CACACACACACACACACACACACACACACACACACACACACACACACACCGAAAATAGGCATCGCGCACAGTGCGCACCTTGCACTGGTAGCGCGTCCTCATGTGCTGCGCGCACGGCGCACCTCGTGCGCGTGCGCGCGCGGTGTCACCACGCGCATGCCGCACGGCGCAGCGCACCACATCGCGCACCACACTAATGCGCCGCAAGTATGCTATAAACCAAAGATAGGGGTTCTGCTTCAAAAGCAGAAAGCTGTTAAAAAGCCAATTATTATGGCGGAGAGAAGATTAGCTCAATGTCAGAATGGGGGGGTCCAAAGTTCTGATATTTTTAATTTATGGAAGGCCTTAAAAAAGATTCCCTCTCAAAAACAGGCAGCGTTACAGTGGCTACAGTCTCTGCAAATCACGGCTTCAGCAACATGGTTGAACACAAAAGGGATGGAGATTTCCACGGTTTGTACTAGGTGTGGATGGGGATGGGAAAGTGCGTCTCATTTGTGGTTATTCTGCCCTCTCTCCAAGGAAATTTGGGAATGGTGGAAGGAGAAGTGGAAAGGTAGTATAGGCTGTTCGGGGGATTGGGGAGAGGACTTCATCCTACATGCTAAATGGTCAGGGACGGGTGATTTCAGGTGTGGTGATGGGTACATGGCTGTAATCTGCAGAGGGATCATCTTTGAGGCTATCTGGTCAGCCAGAAATGCCAAAGTCTTCCGATCGGAACTGGTAACGATGCAGCATTCGATCAACCAGATAAGAGCCGCTGTCAGGCTGGTGATAAGAGCCGATTGGAGAATGAAAGGTCAGCTTTGGTTTGCCAACATGGGCTAAAGGTTCGTCCTTTGCATCAGTGTCTTCGGATAGAAAAATGCAGTATGCTAGCTGGTTGCTACAGGGATAAGGGATTATGGCCGGGGCCTGATTTGCCCCATTCTTCAGATCTGTGATGGATTCTTAAGCAGGCCGCGTTAGACCTGCGAAATAATCGAGATGTATGTTCCCACTTATGAAGCTCTGTTTTCCATCCTCCGGGATTTCAGACCCTTTCAAGTAACTTGTTGGGACTTACAGTCGAAAAACACAGTAAAGCTCAGTGGTGGAAAATGATCAATAACGGCTGCGTAGGATCGCCACGGGCTACTGGGTGAATTTGAGCCAAGGGATATTGATGGCTCAGCTTTTGATTTGGGCTTCAAGGTTTTATATTTGGAGAGCTTTTGATGGGACGCTGAACCCGGTTTTCAGCAGGCTTTTTGATTAATGAGCTTTGAACGGTCGAGCTTGGCTCGTAAGCTAAACTGGCTGAGGCTGCCAGGGATACTCCGGGTTGAATTGTGAGGTCCCCGATCATTATAGCTGTATTTGGGGTATCTTTCAGTCTAAATTATACAGCAATAACGACCGTACATTGTATTCGGGGGAAGAAGGTAGTCACGTCTGAAAAGCGTGGAAGGTTAAAAAAAAAAAAAAAAAAAAGCGTGGAAGGGCGGGGTCTTACTGTCTATTGGCTTCTTCTTCTTCTTCTTCTTCTGTTTTTTTTTTTTTTTTTTTTTTTTTTTTTTTTTTTTTTTGGAGCTCCATCTATTGGTGGGGAGCATCACCTGCTGCAAATCGGGTCCAGCGTCCCTTGAGAAACATATTTTTCGAAAACATCTGCTGGAAACAGGGTCGGGCTTCAGGGAGCGGCGGGGTCCTGCTGTCTATTGGGGCTAAAATGTGTCCTCCCAGGTGGCAAGTATTCTGCTGTGAAGAGGAGACTCTGAGATTCTAGTGTGGTGTGGTTTATCCACACACAAAAAAAGAAGTCTGGTGCCTACTGTCTTGCCCCTAACATAACGTATACGAATAGAACACATGGGTTGCTTTGTATTCGAACACAACACATAGGCATTTTATTCGAACAACCCTTATATTCGAATACAATGAGTATGCGCTCTATTCGAACCATCAATTTTGTTTCGAGAACTCGAATACAATGCAGATGCGTTATGTTCGGGGGAAGACGGCAGCTATCTGAAAAGAAAGGTGTCTATAATTATTTTTTGCTATGGTGGTGCACCACCCAGGTCATGTCGTTGAATGGTACGCCCATCAACTTTTTGATAACCAGACCTCAGTTCGAAATTTGAATCCTGCTGAGATCAGGTAAGGGGAAAGGACCTAGGCCCTGGTCAGTTGGGATGATGATACCTCCAGGCCATGACCGCTTAAGAAAAAAAAAAGTAGATCAAAAGAAGATTAATAAAAAAAATTAAACATAAAAATAAAAATAAAAATAAAAATAAAAATAAAAATAAAAATGAATGGTTTTTCATCGTTTGTTTTGCAAAGTCCCGCTCTTTTACTTCGTAGATATACACGCGACATTAATACAGTTAAATACACAATATAATAATAACTTAATAATAACTTAATAATAACTTAATAATAAATTATTTTATTGTGGGCTCTGACGAAATGAATGGCCAGAAGGCATTTGACATTGGTAGCATGGGGTATGCGATCTGTTTAGAATCTTTGGAATCTTTCCATTTTTGTCTGTGTCTTCGTCAAAGGACTCGAGCCCTAGCAAAAATGTGTCTTTTCTTCGCAACGGTACAGTCACTGTGACATCGGACACAAAGATTTGATACACAATTTTAACAGACGAGGGGAACGAGGAAGTGGGTTCATTTGGGACATATCAGCGAGCATTTAGGAAAAGGCAATCAATCCTGTCAGATCATTTAGGAAATAGCAGGCCACAATTATTAGGGAAAACAGGGGTAGATCACTGGTAAATCCTACCCAACTGGGTACTCATCAATGCCTCGCTCTCAGGATCTCCTAGGCATAACGGGGACCCCGCGTTGAGTGAGATTACATCTGACGTACGGAACACTGGACCCCGTTTCCAGAATTATTAACACAAAAATTGACAAAATCATTTTCCTGAAATTAAAGCAAAATGAAGAAGAAGAAGAAGAAGAAGAAGAAGGGTGGGATGGAGTTTAGGGGAATGGGGGAATGGGGAAAGGGGTGGTGATTTGTTATTTAAACTTATTTTTCAGAAACGTTTGGTGCACAGGATATTCTCCCCCTGCTTAACATATGTGAGGGCACAGTCACATTAGCACTCTCCAAAATGCATCTGACCGTGATTACGGCCAGACCTGGATGCATCTGACCGCAATTACGTCCATAACTAAGTAAAAAAGTCCTAGTGTGAGTATGCCCCGAGTGTGCGCCACGTGTGCACGGATGTCGATTCCATCTCCAGAGGGCTGCATCCAGGGTTACAAAGGGATCCATTTGCCTGGCATGCAAGTTGTGTGCCCTTACTATGGGCTTTTTTTTTTTTTTTTTTTTTTTTTT